GGCCTCCAGGCCCCAATCGAAAGACACACTTACACTGGTGCCAGCCCCCATTCGAAGGAGGCAGAAAGACAAATCGAAGGGCATGACTCCACTAACTCCAGACCCCAAATCGAAGGAGGTCAAAGGGTGCAGAATCGAATGGTTTTCTGCCTAAATCGAAAGACCCATTTTTATTGCTTTTATTTTATTTTGGCCTTTATATTTTCATACAATTCAATATGGTTGTAATAGTGTAGGATTTTATCTTTCTGCATTTTATTACTTTTATATGATTGCTAGTAAAATAAGGTATGTATGACAAGATAAAAACAACAAGTAGATAACCCCTAATCAAAGACTAAATGCATGTAAATCAAACACACCATTCACATATGCAATCTTAGGGTAATCTCACTTGTTGCCTCAGAAAAATAGTCATGTCCCTCGAATATGGACATTTTAGAAAAGACCCTCGATAAAAGATCGTAGTCCCTTGACGACCCTCAATGTTACCTTCGGTAAACAATCTAGTCCCTAAATGACATTGCTAAAACGTCTCATAGGTTGCCTTCTATGACTATACAAACGTCCCACACCCGTCCCTTCACATCCAATAATGGGGCTTCTTACCAAATCAATGGTAAGATAGCAACATCTAAAGGAGGAGGAAAAAATATTTAATACCTTTTGAGTAGGTAGGTTGCTCCTAATTGCTCGCTTGCTTACAACAAAAACATTTTATACACCAACACTTTCATTTGAAACATTTTCAAAAGTTAAAGCACTTTGTACGTGTTCTTATAGAAACGAGAACCATTACAAAGACACCTTTTCAAAATTACTTTCAAAAACACATTCCACAAACACCTCTTTGAACTATTTTTAAAACAACACTTTGTACATGTTCTTATAGAAACGAGAGCCATTACAAAGACATTTTTAAAATACTTTTAAAACCCACAACACAAGCACATTTTCAAATAAAAGCAAGTGATCTAGCAAGCAACTAAGAGCCCATAGATAACTACAGATGAAAAGGGTGCTAACACCTTCCCTTTTCATAACCTACCCCCCGAACTCAAGAAATAATCTCGAAAGGTCTTTCCTATTCTTTTCAGCCTTTCCTTATTGGATAAAAGAAAAGTCAGTGGCGAATCTTACTATCTGTAACAATTGCGATCAAACACAAACAACCCTAGTCAGTTCTCCCACTGTGTTACACCCTTGAATATGGGCGTTTTAGCAAAGACCCTCGATAAAAAGATCGTAGTCTCTCGATGTCCCTTGATGTTGCCTTCGGTAAAGGATCTAGTCCCTAACAAAAATTGATAAAACGTCTCATAAGTTACCTTCTATGACTATAAGATTGACCCACATCCGTCCCTTCACATCCAACGATGGGGCTTCTTACCAAATCAATGGTAAGATAGTAACATCTAAAGGAGGAAGAAAAGAACATATACCTTTTGAGTAGGTAAGACGCTCATAGTTGCTTGCTCTTAAACTAAAACCATTTCCACACTTACACTTTCAAAACATCTTCAAAAAATAAACATCTCTTTGAACTATTTTAAAAAAACAACACTTTGTATGCATTCTTATAGAGACGAGAATCATTACAAAGTTAGCCGCAACAAAGGCATTTTGCAAAATATTTTCAAACTTACACCCACCACAAGCACATTTCAAACAAAGCAATTTCAAAAGTGATCTAGCAAGCAACTAAGAGCCCCTAGATAACTATGGATGAAAAGGGTGCTAACACCTTCCCTTTTCATAATCTACCCCCCGAACTCAAGAAAACATCTCAAAGGTCTTTCCTGTTCTTTTCACCCTTTCCTTATTAGATAAAAAAAAAGCTGGAGGCGACTTTTGCTATCCGAAACAATTATGATCAAACGCAAAACAACCAAGTCAGTTCTCCCACCGTATTACACTTGTTCACTTTTAATTTCATATTAATTACCCCCAATGGTTTACTCACAACCCTGTCATATAGCTCCAGATGCTCATTTGCAGCAACGGATTCAATAATCTTTTTTACACCAGTGGCTGTTGTAAAGTTGGATGAGTCACCGACTGCGGTATAAATAAACTACTTTGTCTTCATTCGAAGGCCATTCACAAGCATTTGCATTTGCTCAGTTTGATCCATACTGTGAGTGGGACAAGCTACCAATAACCTCTTGAACCTCTTGTAAGCATCACCTAATAACTCTCCTTCTTTCTGCTTAAAATTCACAATATCATATCATTTGCAAATGTAAACAGAAGCAGGAAAGTATTCATCAAGAAAAGTATTCTCCATCTGTTCCCAAGTAGTAATACTCCCTGTCGGTAATGAGTAAAACCACTATTCAGCATCTTCAGACAGCATGAGTGGAAACATTCTCAATTTCTTTGCCTCTTCAGAGTGCCCCTCAATTTTCAAAGTAGTGTTCATAGTGAGAAACCTCTGCAAATGTTTGTTTGCATTTTCATTTATCTTTCTGGTGAAAGATCTGTCTCGAACTGGGAGATGGTTGAAGGGTGCAGCTGAAAATTTGCAATAGTTACCGGTTGATTCACGATAGTCAACCGACCTGTGGAGCATTTACTCCTTCATAGTCCCCAAGAAGTCTCTCAGGTGGTGGTGGATCTTCAGTCATTGGTCTTTCTTCCTTTTCGGACTCTGAACCTGAATGATCTGATGAACCTTATGATTCTAGTCTAACTAATTGAGCTTGTTTGCACCTTACGTGAAAAGTCCTTTCAATTTCCACGTCAAAAGGAAATTCAATTGAGGGCTTTCCTCGCATACAAAGGTTAGACACAAATCAATAATAACAAAAAAAGAAGAAAATATACAAATAATAGAAAATAAAATTTTAGTCGCAGAACAACAAAATTTTAATTGAATTAAAATTGAACTCTATAATTTGGCACTCCCCGATAACGGCGCCAAAAACTTGATCGAAAAAATAATAAATGTACTATTTTGCCATTATAGTAATAGTAGGGAATTTCCCAAAAATCAATCTCAAGGACTACGGATTAATACAGAGTTCGTTTTCACTTCAATTAAACAAAAACTATGGTTTTGGGATGTTATAAGTATAACTAATTTATGAATAAAATAAATAAAGTTTGCGAATGATTGAAATAAATATGAATAGAATGTTAGGGATGGTGTATAATTCAATTGTGTAACGACTCCGACAATGTAATGCAACAACTTGTTTAAATAATAAATTATCGGTTCTTAAGAGTAATTACTCCTAAATCGTTAGGAAGACACTTTTTGGCCCTTCAACCTAATTACTATGTCCATAGAAAACTACGATTGAAATCAAGCGTTATATTATTAAGAATATTCTGATTATTGAAGGGTATCCCTAGTCTTAGGTGATATCTACTAAAATATGTTCTCAAACAGATGATGAACAATAGTTGTCCAGCTTAATTGTATCAACACACCAAACTCCGTTTGTCCGACAGAGAAAGCAATAAGAACAGTAAGAGAACAAATCAAACATAACTTAAACCAAATTGTTATTGCACACATATAATCGTATTCATTACAAAATCAAATTAAAGACACCCCATAAGATTGAGGGGTTTAGCTACTCATAGAAATAAAAAAACATAGTATTCAGTGTAGACATTACATATAATAGATGAAAATAACTCTTCAATTGTAAAAGATCATGAAAATCTTGATTCCAAGCATAAATATTAGTTCTTCAACCTTCAACCTTGTTCTTTGTCATCAAAATTCATCTCCAAAATTCAACAACCCTTCCAAAATATCATTTTCTCCCTTTTATTCACGTTTTTGGGCTTTCAAACCAAAAATCCACAAAATTCACGTCCACACGCGTTTTGGAACGCATTTGGGAGTCTGAGACGCGTCTGGGAATCTGGCACGCGTTTGGGGACGCACGTGGCCTGTTGGCACGCGTCTGGGGACACACGTGAACTGATGGAACGCGTCTGGGGACACATTTGAGCTGTTGGCGCGCATGTAGGAACGCGTATGAGCAGAGAGACACATTTCTGGATGTCTGCATGAGTTGGCACGCATCTGGGCACACATTTGGACAAAGATGTGCATTTTTTTGCCAATCTACATGCATATGACCAGTGCTCTCAGACTCTTGTTCTATCATCTCTATTTTTGTCCTGCAAAACACACAATTCCTTTCCAAAAAGATCAAAAAGCATCTAAACCTGAAAACACTAAAGAGACACAACCAAAGTATAAAATGCAGATAGAAAGAAAAATAATGTACTTGCAAACAACGAGAATATTAACTAAAATTACCGATAAATAAAGGTGCAAAAACCACTGATCAATGTGCATCTCCGAAATTATAAATTCTGAGATGAATTCGAAAATACACATACAAGTCATCATTTTTTTTGACAAAATAAAATGACTTCAATATGCACATGTGAACACATCTATTATTATCAAATACGATGTGTTCGAATATCCATTTCTAAAATATAGAGATATTTTGAAATTTTCGTTAGAAATTTAGAAGAAATGCATTAAATGTTAAAAAAGAAATTCTTATATAATTTTCGCATAGCTACAAAAATTGACAACATTTATTTATTTAGGTTACTGAACAACTAAACATTAAACTACAACCATACAAATTAAAATCATATTTTCAACCAGTAATTTTAATCTTAATAAAATATTCCTATAGTAAAAAGTTGAACAATTCTTAACATCATTAACTAACTAAATTACCATCTGTCAAAAATCTAAATAGATTACGACACTAAAACAAACTATTATTAACTGAACCAAAAACAAAAAATTAAAAAAAAAAATTGGAAAATTCAAATCAAATTTCTTTGTTCAACCTTTTCAGATTAGTTAGAAAAAAAATAATCATTATAACAAAATCAATTTTATTCAAATTTCAAAAATCATTTTCTCTCTCTCTAAACTCTCTCTCTAAACTCCATAGCTACGAACTCCAGTTTCTGAGCTTCATTCTTCTTCCATCAACCCACATGCGATTACCATGTCTCTTCTCAGTCGATTCTTCTACAAAAGACCCCCAGATGGCTTACTTGAATTCATCCCAAGAGTTTACGGTAAAAATTTCCCCTTTTCAATTTTTTTTATTATTTAAAATTTCATCAAATTTCTTCAATTTTGTTCATTTTTTGTTTTTCTTTGTAGTTTTCGATTCGTGTTTCTCCACTGAAGCGTTATCAGATGGAATGTACGAGCTCTACCTTCACGAAATCGTGACTGAATTACACGAAGAGTTTCCAGAATCTTCGTTTTTAGCGTTTAATTTTCGTGACGGTGAGAAGCGTAGCAATTTCGCTGAGTTAATGTGTGAATACGATGTTATTGTTATGGATTATCCCAAAAATCACGAGGGTTGTCCTCTTTTGCCGCTTTCTCTTGTTCAGCATTTTCTTCGTGTTTGTGAGAGTTGGCTTTCACTTGGGAACCATCAAAATGTGATTTTGTTTCATTGTGAGAGAGGGGGTTGGCCGCTTTTGGCTTTTTTGTTGGCGAGTTTGTTGATTTTTAGAAGGGTTCATAGTGGTGAGCGGAAGACGCTTGAAATGGTTCATAGAGAAGCACCTAAGGGTTTGTTGCAGTTGTTGTCGGCTTTGAATCCGTTGCCTTCGCAGCTTCGGTATATTCAATATGTTGCGAGGAGGAATATTGCGCCTGAGTGGCCTCCGCCGGAGAGGGCTTTGTCTTTGGATTGTGTTATTCTTAGGGGGATTCCGAGTTTTGATTCGTCGAATGGATGTAGGCCGATGTTTAGGATTTTCGGGAGGAATTTGTATAGTAAAGGTGGCCCTTCTACTCAGATGATTTATAACATGCATAAAAAGAAGAACTTGAGGCATTATCGTCAGGTTTGCGGTTTTGTTTTTGTGTGTTTTGGTAGTGATTGAGTTTAATGTTATTGTTGAGTTGATTCTGTTAGTTAATAGAGTTGATGTTGGAATGCGGTGTCTTCTTTTTGAATCTCAGGTAGACTGTGATGTGATTAAGATTGATATTCAATGTTTAGTGCAAGGAGATGTGGTTTTGGAGTGTGTCCATTTGGATTTGGATCCGGAAAGGGAAGTGATGATGTTCCGTGTGATGTTTAGTACGGCGTTTATTCGATCCAATATATTGATGCTGACCGCCGAAAACTTGGACATTCTTTGGGATTCTAAGGAGCGGTATCCGAAAGGCTTCCGGGCTGAGGTGAGTGCATGTTCTAGTATTGTATACAATTTATAACTGTTTACCACTTGTGATGATTGTGAATTTGGTCTAGGAAGGTTACTCGTTGTCGTTGTTCTGATTGTGTTAAACTTCTAAATATAGGTTTTATTTGGGGAGGTTGAAAACTCAAGTTGTCAGAGAACTTCGATGGAAACAACCATTTTGAATGGTGAGGAGAGAGGTGGATTACCCATTGAAGCATTTTCAAGAGTTCAAGAACTTTTTAGTGGAGTGGATTGGGGTGACAATGGTGATGCTGCAGCAGTGTGGCTGCTTAGACAGCTTAATGTCTTAAATGACGCCAAAGAGTTTTCGAGGTTGCAAGGTAAAGGAAGTTGGTTTTCGTCGCCAGCTGACTCTGAAGAAGAATTTAATGAATCAAGTGTTGCTGATAGTTCAGATGAGGCCTTTGATGTTACTCCCAAGTCTTCTGCCGATTCTTCAAAATTATGGACATCTGACATCCCTGATTTGGATCATTTAGCCATAGAAAACAATGGGGGAAATTTTGTAAATCCCACTTCAAGAATGTCTGATCATTTATTGACTGATAATGTTTCATCACCTCATCATGTTTCTGGCCCTCATATTGGTTGGAACACTGATAATGCTGCTGGTCCTCCTCCACCCCCTCTTCCTTCCATGGCCAGCAATGCTAGCAGTGCTTCCACATTGTCTTCACTTCCTCCTCCAGGACCAGAACATACAAGTTTAGTCCCATTACCTCCACCCCCACCACCACCTCCTCCAGAATTTGCTCAAACAGGTTCTTCCCCAAACCCTCTACCTCCAAGTCTCGTACGGACAGGTTCATCTCCCCCATCCCCACCTCCGCCTCCTCCATGTCCTATACGAACAAGTTCGATCCCACCACCCCCGCCTCCTCCAGGTTCTGTACAAACACATTCAATCCCACCTCCTCCACCTCCTCCAGGGCATGTACAAACTGGTTCATCGTTACCCCCCTCCACCTCCACCTCCTCCAGGTTCTGCACAATCAGCCCCGCCACCCCCCTCCTCCTCCTCCTCCTCCTGCCCCAGGTCTTACACACATAGGCTTAACCCCTCCGCCACCACCACCACCTCCTCCAATTCTAGGACGAACAAGTTCAGCCCTGCCTCCTCCTCCTCCAGTTTTGGCACAAATAGGTGCAGTCCCAGCACCTCCACCACCGCCTCCAAGCTCTACACGAACAGGATCAGTCCCACCACCTCCACCACCTCCTCCCCCAGGTCCTCCACGAGCAGTTTCAGCCCCACTACCTCCTCCCCCAGGTCCCCCAGGTCCTCCACGAGCAGTTTCAGCCCCACCACCCCCGCCACCACCTCCTCCAGGCCCTCCACGAGCAGGTTCAGCCCCACCACCTCCACCGCCTCCTCCAGGACCTGCACGAACAGGATCAGCCCCACCTCCTCCAAGTCTTCCACGAACATGTTCTGCCCCACCACCTCCACCACCTCCTCCAGGACCTGCACGAACAGGTTCTGCCCCACCACCTCCACCACCTCCTCCAGGACCTGCACGAACAGGTTCTGCCCCACCACCTCCACCACCTCCTCCAGGTTCTGCACGAACAGGTTCAGCCCCACCACCTCCACCACCTCCTCCAGGACCTGCACGAACAGGTTCAGCCCCACCACCTCCACCACCTCCTCCAGGACCTGCACGAACAGGTTCAGCCCCACCACCTCCACCACCACCTCCAGGTCCTGCACGATCAGGTTCAGCCCCACCACCTCCACCACCACCAGGTCCTGCACGAACTGGTTCAGCCCCACCACCTCCACCTCCCCCAGGTGCACGAATGGGTTCAGGTCCGCCAACAGCACCAATGCCTCCTAATGCTCCTCCCCCACCACCACTTGGTCGCGGTTCGTCGCTGGCACCTCCTCTTACTGCAGGAAAGGCCTCTAGTGTGCCTCCACCACCAGGGAAATTAACAACAAATGTGGGAAGAGGCCGTGGTACTGGTGCTATTGCTGTTAAGAAAACTTTGTTAAAGCCTCTACATTGGGTGAAAGTTTCTCGGGCAGTACAAGGGAGTCTATGGGCTGATTCACAGAAACAAGGCAGTGATTCAAGGTACTGATTTTCAACTTTTCATCCTGATGTCATCAGACTTAATTTTCCTACGAATTATTACATCATTACAAGGTATTATTATTTAAGATTTGTTTTATCAAAATGTTGTGAGACTTGCTGTTTAATATAGTAATGACCAATAGTATGCATCCCCCAACTCTTCATTGGATAGGACTTGGGGGAGTGGGATGTTTGTCCCTTTTAGCATTTCTGATTCAAATAATGAAATTTTTTGTTAGGGCCCCTGAAATAGACATATCAGAACTTGAGACCCTGTTTTCAGCAGCATCTATTTCTGATGGAAATAGTACTAAAGGCGGACTTAGGCGTGGTTCTAATATTAACAAACCTGAGAAAATACAATTGGTAAGCTACTCCTCATTGGCATAAATTATTTTATTACCTTCTGCTTAGAGTTTATATACAATATGCTTAATTATAATTATAATACTATGTAATGATAATTAGGGATCACTATTAAAATGGAAATCAATAGACATTAAGCATCAAAACTGCAGTCTCCAAAGATCCATTTTTTTACGGTCAGCTAATTGCACGCCTTTAAGAAAGGGAGAAGTACAGAAATTTGATTGCTAATATGTTTTATATTGGATTGGATTGAATCGCTATGCGATTTTCTGTTGAAACAACTATTCCACGTTGGAGTTTGCAGGGGTTTTAGGATATGGTACCTCAGTATTATTACGTGCTCTCTAAACCTAATTACGATGCCTTAATAATTATTTTTCTAATTTTTAGTATCTGATTGATAAAAAAAAGGCAAAATATCCTTTTTGGTTCTGTATGTTAACGTCAAGATTCATTTTAGTCCCTTAACTTTAAAAAAATTCATATTGGTCCCTTAACTCTTCAAAGCGCTTCATTTCACTCCTTTCTGTCTAATTAGCGACGGAAAAACTCAGAAATTGGTCGCTAATTAGACAAAAAAGACTAAAATTAAGCGTTTTGAAGAGTTAAGAGACCAATATGAACCTTTTTTAAGTTAAGGGACCAAAATGAACCTTGACGTTAACATACGGGACCAAAAAGGGCATTTTGCCTAAAAGAAATATATAACTAATAATTTCAAATTTTCATTTTTTTTTCACTGTCAGGTTGACCTGCGTAGAGCATATAATTGTGAAATAATGCTCTCTAAAGTCAAAATTCCTCTGCCAGATATGCTTGTAAGTTTCCTCTATCCTTGCATTCAGTTGATTTTGCGACTTGCTAGTTTACTGGATGAAACCAACTCGTTTATTCTTGTTTCAGACATTTTTCTCTGTTGTGTCATATCACAAATAAAGAATTAGACAGGGTCCTACAGTGTTCATTTATCTATGTAGCCAATTAGTGTTGTTGATATTGATGTTAAATATGGACAATTTTGTGAGTTGATATTCAACTCGCCCCTCTAAAAAGATACCCAGCGGGGTTGGAGTTTTAAAGGAGAATTTCTCATATTCTTGTTCCTATTTTCTTTTTTCCTTCATTAGATTATTTTTTTTATCACAAAATAGAAGGACTACAATAAACAGATGGAAAATACTTTTTGAGGTATAGGGGCGTGTAGAACGAATGAGATAAAAGTACATCATGAGTCTTGCCCCAAATTTTTGAAAGAACTAACTAAGTAGAGATTAAGACGAGAGACTCACATCATGAAACATAAATTTGGTGTTAGTTGGCTTTATTTTCTTATATTTCCTCTGGCTTTGATTTTTCTGGGTTTTGTTTTTGGTTCTAGAAAGCAATTTTGGCATTGGATTCTTGTGTTCTGGATATTGATCAGGTTGAGAACCTCATCAAGTTCTGTCCTACAAAGGAAGAGATGGAGGTGCTGAAGGTACTCCTCTCCCCCCTTGTGTAATAACCTATAAAATGTTTCGTGAACTACAATCTGTGACTTTCATTTAATATATACGAAAGGAAAAAAAACTGTCTTAGAAGGTGAAGAAACTGAAAATTCATATAAAAAGATACCTAAAAATTATAAGTAGCTGTGTTTTTTAATGGTGAAGAAGGAAATTGTCTTTTTATATTTCCTGGCTAAAAATCTTTCTATTTTCAGAACTATACCGGGAACAAGGATATGCTTGGAAAGTGTGAGCAGGTTCTCTCCTTCTTGATACCCTTTTGTAAATGAATCCTTGCAAACACTGTCTATTCTAACAAATTGTTTACTTTAATATCTTCATCAGTTTTTTATGGAGCTGATGAAGGTTCCACGAGTAGAATCCAAGTTAAGGGTGTTTGCTTTTAAAATCACCTTTTCTGGTCAGGTACGTTATCTAAGTTATTATTACACGTGCATGTTTTTGCATGCTATTAAGTCATATGCTTAAAGACTTGTTTTTTTGCTTCTCCAGGTGAGTGATTTAAGGAAAAATTTGAATACAATCAAAGATGCAACCAGAGAGGTACTGTTTAGTGGCTCTTACTTGACAAACATGTACCATCATTGGGCTGCATCGTTAAATTCATTATATTATTTCTCATGCTTACAGGTCAAGGAATCTGTAAAACTGCGTCAAATAATGCAGACTATTCTTACGTTAGGCAATGCTTTGAACCAGGGAACTGCACGAGGTATCTTTATGAGATCTTATTCTACTTGAATGTATTTTTAATTTAAGATGGGTTTTATTATGCTGTTTAGCTTACATTTCTATGTTGTTCATTGCAGGATCAGCAGTAGGGTTCAAATTGGACAGTCTTCTCAAGTTATCTGACACCCGTGCTAGAAATAACAAAATGACTTTAATGCATTATTTGTGTAAGGTATGTATCTCAAAATCTTCAAATTATATTTTGCTCTGTACTATTGTATCGTTAATGTAGTTGTGGACTATCCCGATATAATATTACACTCAAACGATCATGTGAAAGACAAGAATTTCCATTTTCATTCTAAAAAACCTTGTCGCTGTAACTTTTGATAATGAGGCTCTTATGATCTTTTTCTACGATATCCAGATTTCAACTTTTTATTTTCCCTTTTTGTTCAATACAGGAGTTTTTAATTCATTTTTGTTCCATGTTATTTTATACAGAGATAGCAAAAATTTGTCCTTTGTTTTCCGATGGTGTTGGTTTTGATGCTATATCTTTACAAAAAAAGTTTCCCCTAATTCTAAGAATTTTATTTGTGTTGCTAGCTTCTTGCTGAGAAAATGCCCGAACTGATAGATTTTGACAAAGATCTTGTCCATTTGGAAGCTGCTTCTAAGGTATTCTCCTTGACACTAATGCTAGACATTCACTTTATTATTTCTTGTGTAAGGTTAATTGTTTACTGATTTGTGCCCCTGTCCAATATCTAGATCCAACTAAAAGCATTAGCTGAAGAAATGCAAGCTGTGCATAAAGGTTTAGAGAAAGTTGAGCAAGAACTCACTGCTTCTGAAAATGATGGTTCGATATCTTCAGGATTTCGCAAGGTAACGAATAGAAATGGTAGCTTTTGTACTTATCTGAAATAGGATATACTGCTTTTAACTAAAGCTACTTTTCTACCAGAAATGGCAACTTTTTCTTTTTCTTTTATCTTACGGAACACAAATCCAATTATCATGCATCGAGCTAATTTTCTTTTTGTACAACTTGTTCTGTTGCCCGATGAGGAAATCCTTGATTTGATTATTAAAGAAAAGAACTGATTGCACGTGCTCATGATTTTCTGAGTAATGTTTCCCTTGCCTGCTCAGGTGTTGAAGAGTTTTCTTGATTTTGCCGAAGCTGATGTGAGGTCACTTATATCATTGTATGCCGATGTGGTGAGTCCTGTTACAGTTTATTTTTTCTCCCTCTTTTTTCAAGGTGTTTTTCTAGGATGGTTGGAGATTGCATACTCTGAGAAGACAGGACTACGTTGATAGCGTACTCTTCCAAGTCCAACTGCTACTTATTTATCGTTTTTTATTTTGAAACTCTCTTGTAGGGAAGAAGTGCCGATTCTTTGTCCCAATACTTTGGGGAGGATCCAGCTAGGTGCCCCTTTGAACAAGGTATGTTGTATTCTTCAGGACTGAGTTTGTTTTAACTCTTATTTGGTGTTAAGGATTAATTTATCACTTTGGCCTAACTCTTTTTGGTTATGTTGTTGTCCTTAATCCTAAGGATTCTTAGTTAGAACTGTCGGGCCTGATTTTTGCACCTTGATATTGTAAATCACAAAGCAAATAGTCGCAAAATGCTTTTATTGGCTTATCACATATAAATATTGCCAAATTTCTTCTTTTAAACATGTGCTATTGTTGCAGTGACACAAATACTTATTGTGTTCGTAAAGACCTTCAACAAGTCCAAGGAGGAGAACGAAAGGCTAGCAGATGCCGAGAAAAAGAAACTAGAAAAAGAAGCCATGAAGGAAAAGGCAGCAAATAATATGCATTCTAGGAAAGATGTTGTTCGATAGATATCATAAACATGCATGCGGCATGGTTACTCTCAGTTCAAGTTATCTGAAGTTGAACTATGCAATCTGCACACAAATGCAATTTTCGTGCGTTTATGCATGCACGCACTATTGGGGTTCGATACCTTCCAAGACCATGCTGGCCGTCATATCGAGGTGCATGCATCTCCTCTTGTGCTGCTGGTAAAGGCGAAACACATCAACATGCTAGAGGTCTCTTGTAATTATACCACACAGACAACTAATGTTTAATATAGAAAATTCATTTTGCTCGTGTTTATTTATTCTTCATGAGCCATTTTGCTCCTTTAAAATAGATGCCATATATAAAAATAGAAATTCAAATTTCCTTATACTTTTGAATACTGTACTTATTTGTAATATAGCACAGATGTTTTGTAGTTCAAATATACTTAGATACACAATGATGAATTCTTTCGTCTTAACATGTATGTATATGTATGTCATGACACTTTTTTACGCCCATATTGAGCGTCTCATTTTAGCTTTCTTTCACAAACTCTTCCACATTTATAACTCAAATACCCTTAAAATATTAGCTAGGAAGTGAAAAAGATTGTTGTTCCGAGGCTTCTGATTTTTTGGCTTTTTCCTTCTCAAGCAAGTAAAGTCTCTCTGCTTCTGGAACTGCCTGTATGATTGTATGCAACTTGAAATTCAACTCATCCATCTTTTCCATGAGTCTGTCATTAGTACACATTCCTAGAATGACAGTTTGGATGGTATTCCAGCTCTCTATTATTGGTAAAGCAATTATCACAGCAGAACCAATTGTTCCCCATCCTATAGCAATTACTGCCCAAAAATAGAAGTATCCTTTGCTGAACTCCCCTGTGATAATGAGCAAACAAGAAGGTCTTAAGTTGCAATTTCTGTCACATTGAGATTGAAATTATAAGAGAAAATCACGTTCATATACTTTTCCATCACTGTTATAAGCAAAGATTCTCTTTCTAGATTCATTGGAAAAAAAAACTATTGTATCCAAGTTTGCTTATAATAATGACTAGAGGGAGTATTTTCTAATGCAATGCAATTCAATTCAAAGTTACCTGCTGGGAGGGATAGAATAGGCCATAGTATAACTATCAAAACAGTAAAACCAACACCCCACTTCACAATCCATACTTTAGCCTTTATTAACTTTTCTTCTTTAAACTCTTCCACTGGCAAATCAGTCTTTTCCTTTTCAACCACAGTGATTTGCCTAGTAGTGCTCCAATCATAGTTCTGAGGCCACAACATGCTACATACAGCATGAACACCTCCACCTGTTAATATAGAAACAAGGTTTCCAGCAAGCATTGGTGCATTTCTTCCACTTGTATCAAGGTTTATCTTTCCATACTCTATTTTTGTAACAGACAACCATGTGATTATTCCAAGAACGCAACCGAATACCGTTCCTAAAATGGCTCCGATTGCATTTGCTTTTCTCCATAGAAGCATGAAAGCAATAGGAATAACTGCTGAACCAATCAAAACTCCCATTGCAAGGTACATCCATCCTAAAGAAACTCCTGCTTTGTTTAGTATAACTGCTAACATTCCCATGAAACATCCAAATCCCAGGACAACTCCTCTTGATACTTTGAGGATTTTCTTTCCACTTGCATTAGGGTTTATGTAAGTTCTATAAATATCATATGTGCATAATGACGACACCGCAATTAGCTCTGATGAACCAGCAGAAGTCACTGCCCTGATAATAAGTATATTAAAAATAATCAGGTAAAATAATTGTTGTTCATGAGTGATAGTCCATAAAATTGTAGGCGTCGAGAAGTAGATTGTAACTTACATAAAAAGCATGGTAAGAAGAAGAACTGATCCACCTTTCCCCATCAAAGCTACAGCAGTTGCAGGTGGAACAAGTCCGCGACCTGCTTCACTTTCGTTTAGTGGTAAATCAAGGGCTAGTGCTCCCAAACCAAGCGCGGTAGCCAAAGAAAATGGCACTGCAAACCAGACCAAACCTCCCAACAAGTAGCCCTTATGAGTTGATGAAGGTCTTGCTGCAATAGCACTCACCCAATATCCCTATACATTTCAAATTGAAAACAATCAATAGTAAATCGCAACTAATGTAGAGTATTTCGACGAATTCAAAGTCATGCTTACATTGTCAACAAACACGGTGCCAAAGTTTCCAACAATGTTAATAATCCCAAAAACTAATCCACCTGAACTAAGCATTGTTAAGTAAGAGCCTTTGTGATTTCCACTAACAGGACCACAAGATTGCCCATGGTGTGATATAGGATCTTGACATGTTCTTGATTTGCTCGCAACCTCGAGCAAGCGATTGTAAACGACACTCGGACTACCAAGCTCGCTGCTAGAAGTATAGACAAGGTAGACAAAAATGACCAAAACAACGTGCACTGAAAATCGAAAACAAACAAATTCACAAGCTTAACAATATGATACATGAATGAAGCAAGAAGTTAATGCAGGTAAACAAAGTGATTAGAAGTTGAAGCATTGTATTTGTACCTATGACAGAATGTATATAGCTTGCTAAGAATGTGGCCTTTAATCCACCAGCTAGTGTATAGACAATTACTCCAAGTGGTATTAGAAAGCTAGCAGCATAAATATTGACTCCAGTTAATGCATTTACAACAGCAGAACCACCAAGAAGTAACATCGCCGTTACGATTATATTTGTCATGAAGCAGAAGAAAAGGAATACAATGTGTGCTGAAGCCCCCCAACTGAGGTAAACAAACATTGTTACCACATTAGAATGTCACACGGAATCGCTTTTACACTAATAGGTTTCGCAGACATCTTCAATCATATGATCAGACTTCTGTGTAAACAAAGTAACATACCGGGCTTTGACAATTTCGCACACGGTATGGGCATAAGGAGCCTTTCTTTTAATCTCTATAGCCATAATTCCAAATAACATCACCTAATCATTGTCAAGTATCAGTCTTATTTCATTTTCCATTGTTTTAGTTATAAGAAACTTCACATACTTGAATGGTGGCTCCACTAGCATACCAGAAAGGTCCACTAACTCCATACTCCCAAGCAACATTCGAGCTTTGCAGGATTGTAGCAGCCCAAGTCCACTGCAGCAGAACAAATTCAAGTATCTAAAAAGTGTGGAATAAGAAGAGACTAGTATGAATGTATCACCTGAGACACAATGACACTAGCAATGAGTCCTGTCTTAACATTTCTTCCTGCTGTATTGAACCATTCAGAGGTGTGGCGTGAGCCGACATACCTTTTCTCCAGCCATACCTGTTCCACAAGCATACCAGAATATGGTTCAATTGGTAACACGCATTAAGTTGTTTTCATAAGCTATCCTTGAACTTACTTAAGTAAGATGAAAACAACTTATGTGATACGTTGTTTTTATAAGTTCTTTCAAATAGGCTTATATGTGCTTATGACAGTAGATAAACCCAAATAAGTCTTTTCAATCTGACAATTAGCCAAAGGGTCGAATCTGTGGGATACCTTAGGATTCTATTAGAGAGCCAAAGAACTATTTGATACGAAAAATAATAAAAGCATGATCTTAAAGCATATGAAAGTATAGACTAGATATGAGAAAAACATGTGGTAGAATGTTAGGAAGTGATTTTCTACTTGTAGGAAGAAACTTATTTAAGGCTTAGTACTAACCAAGAAAGAGGTGAAGAGAGCAAAGAAAGCACCAAAACCAAGAATGATTGAATATCCAACTCCTTGGTTAAGAAGAGGTTTTCCTTGAAAGAAACTTGTTTGTCTCACACATCCACCTCCATTTTCAGACACATGATAGTACTTGCTAGAATATTCAAAGGGTGGACACTGTGATGAAGAATCCATGAAAGAATGAACTGTTTGACTTAGTTATTTCATATTATTCATCTTCATACATATGTAGCAGTTATTTTTCTTATTGTTGCAGAAATTTAGAGGCTTATCTCTAGTGGGTAATAACTCAAATTAAGAAGGTATCTAAATACAAAATATTATTGTAATAAAAGGATAAGGTCCAAATGTTGAATATTCTCATACTACTAAAATGAAAAGAGATTGTTATTATTGTTGTGAATTTATTATCAGCCGAAAGAGTTGACTAGGCATGACAATGTGATGAGAATTAGGTGAAGCAATGATTTTCTTTTTATATCTTTGTGCTAAATTTACTCCTCATGTTACAAGAAACTGTTGGACATGTTGGAACTAGATCAAAGATAAAGACTGAGCCCTTTAGTCTTAGTACTTTGTCTTAAGGTATTTAGTCAAGTTTACAAAACTTAATTTTTTAAATTTCGGATTCTTTTATTTTGGATAATGAGTGAGATTTAATAATATCTCTTGATAATTGAGACATATCTTATTTTATTATCTTTAATGTCAGTTTAATTTCCAACTTTATATATATATATATATATATATATATATATATATATATATATATATATATATATATATATATATATATATATATATATATATATATATATATATATATATATATATATATATATATATATATATATATATATATTGTGGGATTTTGGATCGAACTCTAGCATGATTGAAGTACATGCTGTAGTCGAAGCATGTATCTGTCGAAGAATGCTTGTTAAATTAGGTTTTAGTGTTTAAACCCTAATTTGTTAAGTTAGCTTGATTATTAAGTTAGCTTGTATAATGGGCCTTGTGGAAAAAGCCCATTAGTTAGTATGTTAGGTTTTATTATAAATAGCATACTAGTCTCTCATCATTGCATCACAGCAAATCCTAATTTAGGGTGAGAGGGTTATTTGTTATTCTTGTAAACTTGTAATCTTGTTTTCTAAGAGAAAGTAAAGAATATCAGTTATAACCAATTCTTGTGTTCTTCTTCTTCCTTGTTCTTTATTCTTCCTTTATTC